AATTATTTTCGTATGTGCGAGAGATGGGTCAGCATTCTAAATTAGCGATATGTCGCTACTAGAAATTTGAAATATCAAGATATCGCTTAGTAGGACTACCATTTAGTGCATCTTAGTGTATCCACTGAGTGCATCCTTGACACCTTTAAGCAGGGCCTTTTTTAACATACAAGCTGGGGGACAAATGCCCCCCAGTCCCTACTGGCCTTTACGAAATCACATTTTGCCCCGCCAGGAAAAGTCCCTTTTCCCTAAATTTATATCAACAAAACAGCGAAGAATAACAAATAAATAAACGGAAAGTAAGTTTTAGGCTTTATCCTTTGTCCTTGTTTAACAAAATCGATTTAAATTGTTACGTTTTTCTATCACTAAGTAATGATAAATTATTGTTAATAATTTTTTATTTTTCGGATGCTCAGAATGCAGGAAAGAGCATTTCCAGGTTTCAAATTTGAAAAATTTTCTGGAGATTATGCCCCCACACACGTGGCCTTCGGTCATTGGTATCCCCCTCTAATAAGTATAATGATAAATCTAGTACGGTTAATATTCTTTTTTACTTTTTGTGCATAGTTAGCATAAATTTTAGAGCAAATTTGGATGCTCAGAATGCAGGAAATGGCATTTCCGTGTTTCAAATTTCAAAAATTTTCTGGGGGAGTACACCCCCACACACGTGACCATTGGTATCCTCCTCTAATAAGTAATGATAAATTATGGTTAATATTTTTTTAACTTTTTGTTGTTTTTTTCCTTCTTTTATTTCAAATACAAATATAGTTAGCATACATTTTGGAGCAAATTTGGTTGCTCAGAATGCAGGAAATGGCATTTCCGTGCTTCAAATTTCAAAAATTTTCTGGGGGAGTACACCCCCAGACCCTTCCCCATTCATGCGTGCATGGTGTGTTGGTCACACATGTGGCCTTCGGCTATTGCTATCTCCCTGTAATATGTTATCTTACAGAAAAGTCCCTTTTCAAAAAATGCCCCCCCCCACGGGAAAATCCTTAAAAAAGGCCCTGCCTTTAAGTGTTTAAAAACACTTGTCTTTAAGACGCTTTTTTCTTTAAATATTTAGCTCTATATATAGAACAATAATCATTTCTTAATTGGTTCTGATCAGACTTGCCAAGCAAATACACGGGTTGTATAGCAGCCATTTACAGTGGCAATGGAAATGTCCCTGAAAAAAAATCTACCTAAAAAAAAATAGCAACTGTAATCCTGCAAAAATAATATATAATGACCAGGAATTAAACGACAGCAAAAAGATCGCTGATGCTTTTGGTGATTATTTTGCTAACGTAGGGGAAAATCTTGCAAAGGAAATACCTAAAGTCGACAAATCAACATTAGATTATATTCATAATTATTCCTTTAGTAATAGTTTTTATCTATCCCCAAAAAAATTTCGGTCAGTGTACCATTTTAGCGGTCCAAAAATTTTTCCGGAGATACCAAAATTTTCCGGTGATCGAAAATTTTCTACATTTTTCTACATTTTCCCAAATTTTTTACATTTTTCCAAAAAATTTTTTCTAAAATTATGACCCCGATCTTGCCCTTTGCCCCAAAAATATTTAACCCAAATAGCAGTTCTACCGACTGAATAGCAGTCCTACCGACTCAATAGCACTCCTGCCGACTGAATAGATATTTCTGGGGGTGTCACACCCCCCGTAGCTCCGGGCCTGCTCTTGTGGGATTTTCCTGGGTTTTAGTAAGGCATTTGACACGGTTGATCATACAATACTACTGAAAAAGTTAGAAAAACTCGGAATTCGTGGGATTGCCAAAAAATGGTTTGATTGTTATCTAACGGATAGGAAACATTTCATCTCAATAAACAATATTTCATCTAATCTAGCTATATGACATCACTTGCGGAATTCCCCAAGGGTCAGTGTTAGGATCTCTCTTATTTCTTTTATACATCAATGATTTTCATATAAGTGCTCTAATTTTTTCGATTTTCATCATTTTGCTGATAATTCAAATTTGTTTTGCAAAAATAGATGCTTATATACTTGAACTTGAAACCAATATAAATATAGAATTAAGTAATATAGATACTTGGTTATGTGCTAATTGGTTATCACTTAATGTTGAAAATCAAACTTTCTTATATTTCATCCTTTCCCAAAAAATATACTAACAGACATAAAACTTTCGTTAAGAAATAAAGGCATTAAACAAGTAGATCACATAAAGTATCTTGGTGTTTTTTTCGATTCTCATTTAACTTGGAAAAACAAATTACGCGTTCATTTCAAAAAAGATTAAAAGAAGTATAGGAATTTTGTCTAAACTAGATACAATGTCTGCGCAGGAGGCTAGATATTATGTAGATAGCACATGAGCATTCTGGTTAATTTATATTATGCTTTAATTTATATTATGCTCTAATTTACCCTTTTATCACATATGGTTTAATTATATGGGTAATGTTTAATCCTCAATAATCAAACCTTTTTATTATACTCCAAAAAAAGGTTGTGCGTATTATAACATTCTCTAAATTTGATGTCCACTCTAGTTCACTTTTCAAACAGTTGAATATCATTAAGTTGACTGATCTTGTAAATCTACACGTGGTTCTTTTCATGTACAAATATCATAACAACTTGTTGCCACCAACGTTCAACAATTTCTTTACTCCTGTGTGCAACGTTCATTCTCAAAATACCAGGCTTGCTTCTAAATTAACATATATACTACCAAAAGCAAGAACAAATTTCGGAATTTTCAATATCAGATATCAAGGCGCTAAAATATGGAATTCTTTACATGAATCATATAAAGACTTGCCGATTTCTCAAATTAAATATAAACTTAGAATCGATTTTCTTGGAATGTATTGATTCAGTTTCCAACTTTTTCTATACGTTATCGGGAGTCAGGACTCCTTTCTTGATCTTTTAAAATTTATTTGATATAGAACTATATTGTCAATTTTCATAATTTTTTTCGCCCTTTATTTGGTTCCCTTATAGTTATTTTGCCCTGTGGTTATTTCAGGGAGCCAGCTCCCTTTCAAATCTTCTCAGTCGAAAATTAGAAAATAATTAGTGACAGAACACAAAATATATTTTACTAATAACAATAATAATGCTAACAAATATGAATAATTTCTTTGTGTATACTGTATATAATTGTAATTTGAAAGGAGCAAATAAAATCTTGTCTTGTCTTGTCTTGTCCTAAAAAGCCTACCAACCTATCATTGCTCACACGAACTAATTCGTTTGAGGAGTTGTTTGAAAAGTGGTAATTCCCGGCCCGTATAAACTGGATATTAATTGGTATTTTAACTTTTGAACACAATTCCATTGCCACGTCTGCAATGGTGTTTACTGAAGCGAGTCAGCCCCAGCAAGAGTGCTACCACTCATATAAACACGACATGAAAACATGCCATACTGGTAAAGCCACCTCATAAAAACGCCCTCTGCTAAGTCCATAATCTGTACGACATTCCATGACTCATGACTGTCTTCTAGGAATAACCTTGATTCTACGAGGGCAAAATTGGCGAAGTATAGAATATCACTAATTTTTTTTATCTTCTCATGGGTGGTTGAACATGTTGAACTGTCTCACTTCTTTCGATTTCAGAATGAATCAGTACTCAGTAGAAAAAATTCTACTCACGAAACATCTTCTCCCGAAGCTTCATTTATCTCTTGCGCATGCGTTAATTAATTTCGCTGCAAAATTTTGGTATCTGAGAAAAGGTTCGCAGAATCAACGTTTTAAAGCATAACTGTCCTCGACATAAAAATCAAGTAACATGTTCAACAATGCCATAAACTTACCTTGTTGTGAAAGTGTTGAAGGTGATATACTAACTGCATGGCCAAGTTACCAAAGATTATGGACTAAAGGACATAAAATGTAGGCACAGAAATGGACAGCAATCATCATATCTCGCCAAGGTGTAAAGAATGTGCATTATCCATCATGCACTGCGTGTGTCAGGTTGGTACAGTTATGGTACAGATCAGTGGGTTGGTTGCATACTGATTTGGGGGCGTAATGCCTGATACATTTGCTCCAGGCTTTCTCCTCCGCAAAGATATTTGTTCTTTGGACTTTGAAGTTGTTGGAGAAGAAAAGCTCCAGGGTCTCTTTTTTGTGTTATCTTCTGGGGCCCGTTGATCAAAGCTGGATTAGTGCTAATCTTGGATTAAAATTTAACTCGCTGTTTTGGTTTGGGTACATTTGCACTTTTGTTTATTTTAAAACTTTGAAAAATGAAAGTTCTATTGATCCAGAGATGAATTGTGGAAAACTATCGTCATGTTTGTAGATAGGCTGTTGGGAAGATTGCTTTGAAAATGTCGTTAATTTAGGACCACAATGGTACATTACACAGCCGGCCCTGTAGTACTTACCATTAGGCATTACTCTTTAGGCCACTTGTCCACTTGCTCGTTGAAAGCCTATCGCAATTTATAGCTATAAACCGGCTTTTGCACAACTGGCCTCAGATGTTATTGATGAAAGTTACATAGAAAAATCATGAAACATGGAAAAATCATATTGATTCTATTGTTAAGTCATTTTACAAGGTTATAAATACTTTAAAATTAATCCATTATATGCTTTGGTTTATCCATATGTCACGTATGGCAATTTAGCGTTGCATCAAGCCGGTAATACACATATCCATATAAAAGAATGAAAAGGTTTATGATCTTTTCAGAGCGCAAAAAGATTCAATTCCATTCATGAAATTCAAATCATGCACAGAACATACCAGTGTCGGCGGAACAGGCTGTATTTTGAGAAGGGTAACGTTCAGCTAAGTTGGGGGCTCTTGGGGACTGCAGTATTCAGCTAAGTGCAAACAAACACGCAAAACCAGAGTTGCAAAATTACTGCTCAAAAAGTGTAATATATTCAGTATATATGCATGCTAATTAGATTCATGTATATAAGGGGGTTGTTTTTGTAACATAATAAACGGACTAATAACATAACATGGTGTCAGGATGGAGCCGTTTATGAAGCCTCCTTTAGAGATGAACTTCTCAACAACTGAACAGTTGTCGTTATCCGAAAGATGGAGACGATGGAAGGAAACTATGCAGTTATATCTTGGATTAAACATGTCTAAAGCCAGCGAGAAAGAACAATGTGCGGCGTTCCGGTATGTGATCGGACAAGACGGGCGAGACATTTATAACACAATGAAGTTTACACAGGCTCAAACGGACAAAATCGACGTGTTATTCGCGAAGTTTGACGAGTATTGTGAACCCAGAAGAAACACGATTATGGAAAGATACAAGTTTAATACGCGAGTGCAAAGAGACGACGAAACAGCCGATCAGTACGTAACTGAACTTAAATTGCTCGCTAAGAATTGCAACTTCGGGTCTCTTGAGGACGAGTTGATTAGGGACCGCGTTGTTTACGGAATAAAATCGGAGCGTGTGAGAGAACGGTTATTACGAGAACGAGAGTTAACGTTAGATAAAGCGTTAGAAGTATGTCAAATAAACGAACAGTCTGAGGAACAACTAAAAGTACTAAACGATGTTCAGAGCGTCAAGGCCATAGGAAAACATAACAAATCAGGAAATTATCGTAGCAAATTAGATGCAAATCGAAGGCGTGATTTCAAGCATAACGGCGGCAACAAACAAGAACAAGTATCGTGTTGCGGAAAGTTGCGGAAAGTAAGAAATGTTTTAGGTGTGACAAAAAGAATCATTTCGCTAAATTCTGCAAGTCAAAGAAAATACATGCAGTAGACAAAGCGAGTACAGATGACGAACCGTTGTTTATTGGAGCGGTTAATTCAATTCATAACGAAGAGAATGTTTTCAAAACTTTATCAATCGAGGGAAATGAGATCAAGTTCAAGATTGACACGGGATCACAAGCCAATATAATACCCCTACCTACATTCGAGAAGATGAAGCTGAAACAAACCCGGTTAGAAAGACCAACAGCAAAGTTAACAAGTTACACTGGCGATTATCTACCGGTCGTCGGAGAATGCAATCTGAAATGTAACAACAAGACATTGAAATTTTTCGTCGTAAAAACTGGACAAGTTCCCATCATTGGTTTGAAAGCTTCTCAAGAACTGAATCTGATCAAAATCATCATGAATGTGAACAATGTGATTGGTCAATCAGCAGAAACCATTCATGAGAAATTTCCTAAAGTATTTCAAGGTTTGGGATGCCTAAAGAATCCATACCACATCGAAGTCGACCCTACGATTACACCTGTCGTCAGTCCTTTAAGAAGTACACCAGTTGCGCTCAGAGAGAGGCTGAGGTCTTTGCTAGATGATATGGAAGAAAAGGGAGTCGTGGAGAAAGTCGATGGTCCAACCGAGTGGGTGAATTCGACAGTGATTATAGAGAAGCCAAATAGTGACAAACTACGAATTTGTCTTGATCCGAGACCACTAAATGAAGCTATCAAGCGAGAACACTTCAAGATGCCAACAATAGAGGAAATCACGACGCGTGTGGCCAGAGCCAGAGTATTCTCCAAACTGGACGCAAATCATGGCTATTGGCAAATACCACTAGATGAAGAGAGCCGATTGCTGACCACATTCAACACACCATTTGGTCGTTACTGTTATAAA